ATATCATATGATATAACAAGGGTTTAATTTTGAATACTCAAAATAATGTTACATAGATAATATTGAGACTTTACTTTAAAAAGTGAAACATATTCTCTGCTGTATATTGAAGATTACAAATTAAAGAATGAGAAAACWATTTGCAATCAGCAAAACTTTACTTGTAGAAGTCACCTTTGCATATCTGGGCAAAAATGTATTTCACTCAATTTTTTATGTTTTTCTTGACAGGKTTGACTTTTGATCTTGAAAGATGGGGAGTGAAACTGTTCTCTCTCTGCTGCTTCTGTCACTCATAGGTAAAGATTTAATCAAGTCAAATTTAATAAGCTGACGTTTGCATGGATTAACGCATAGATGCATTTAGACAGATGCATAAATGATAATTCACTAAAGTGTTCAATGTATGGCCCAGAGACATGGGTTTAAGATATTCATAATAAAAACCTCTATAACACAGTAAATACACAAATAAGACAAAGTCGCAACTACATGTTTAAAATAAGCTATTTTAAACTAAGAGTATTTATTTTGAAGTCAGTGTCTTTTTATCTTCAGTTATTGACAAATACAACACATTTTAACCATTGGAGCCRATTGCAAACATTTTAAATGCATTAATAGAATTGTTAGAGTTTTTACATTTTCAGGCTCCACACAGTCACAATCCTGCATGYGCACAAAACATCAGCATTTTTAAAACCAAGCTAAAATAAATTTTATTGGTTTTGAAGGCAAAACCTTCAATAAAAGGGTGTTATAGGTGATAATAGTTTTGAAAAGAAGTTTTATATTTTTCTTCAAACCAGTATGTAGTCCAGTATGTCAATYTTATCCCTTGACATTTTAATTCAACAGTTTTTTCATTTAATTTTRTGTTTTCATAGGTGGAGTGATTTCACAGAATTTGGGTAAGTTTAAAGTTATTCTTATTTCATTTTATTAATGTGTCATTTCTCAGATGTAACAAAAGTAAAAGCAATAAATAAAGTATTTAATAATAGCAATGAACAGGTCTAAATGCTGACTGCACTGAAAACAGGCTTTCAAGAGAAGATGTTAGCTACAAATTTATGTTTTAGAAATATGAAGAATTTCAAAGCAGGTATAGATCAGTGGTGGGTGCTGGTCTTGTTTTTAACCCTTTAAGCCCACAAGATTTTAAAAGATTTCCTTCAGTTCTCTTGTCGGCCCTGTACCGGGCCCAACAGGGATTGTAATGTTGTTGACTGTTTTGGTCAAAACTATTTAATTTCATATGTGAATATATGTAAATAAACAGTGAGATTAAGAAAATTGCATCAACAAATATCCTCCCTTGGGTCTTAGCCCTAYTGGGGGCTAAGCACCCCTWAATGTCAGATCCTAGAATCGCCCCGGTCCTCTGGTATTTCGTGTCTATTCGTATATTATATAAATAATGATSGTGGGCYGCYATGACCAAAAAAYGCCAAGGCCATTTTTCGGTCCCAGTCCAGCCCTGCCTACTGACAATGTGGTGTGTTTGAGGAAATGGGAAAAATAGGTTTCATGTTGCAGTCACGCACTTCCTGGTCACAAACGTTCTCTAAATGCGCACCAAATGCATAAAAACGTGCACATTATGGCAAGACTTATTCATCATTACATCTGGTTTTAACATGACTTTTATAAAGTTTGAAGTCCGTGCTGCGTAATCCAGTTCAAATGAACACTTGAAAACTCTCACTGTTTTTTACAGAAGACCTGTGAAAGCATCACAGCTTTGTCGGTCTCAGAGGATTAAAAGAAAAAAAAAATCCTGTATCTGCATCGTGATCTGCAACATCACCAAAATTTAATGGTGTGTTCTTTGGCCCAGTACCCACATGTGTTGTACTGTAAATGTCATGACAATCCATCCGCAAGTTTTTGAGTAATGTTGTCCACAGACAGGCCGACCGACAGACCAACATACGCGACCGAAAACATTACCTCGCCAGTTGGCGGAGGTAAAAATGTGGTGGAACTGTGGGTACAAATCAACTTTCATAGCATGCAATACTATAGCCCTATTTAGTTTAGCAATCAAAGTAGTTCAATGACAAAAAACATTTAGAGACATCCTCAACTCCACTTTGTGACTCCGGCCCCAGCCTCTGACACCACTTGTGAGAATGGCATTTTGTGGCTGGATAAGCAGGAGACTTGAGGCAGAGAAACAGGTGCAGACCCACTGGGWGTTTATTCACCAMCATTGAACATGAACAGACAGAGAACCCTGTTTCACAGGTCACACAGGGTCYCRGCAGGACAACACCAAATGTGGCAGGCAGACTTTTATRGCCTATTATCCCCGCCCATTAACAGACCTAMCATGAAACAGGGTTAATAAAAAYATACATCAGGCAGAAAGATCAATTCATGGTTGATCTGATTGGTTACCTAAAAGATTTTATAAACAACATCCCAGTAATTTACATTYTAATTACTAAATTTATACTCAGTCAGTAACAAGTGCTAGCTTTCACATGGGAGAGGGCTGCAGTTAATGGAGGGTTTCCGAGTTGCATCCCCACGGCTCGGCTACTCGGATGAGAGTTGAAACTCAGACGAAATGCGGGTGTACCCTTCATATGTTTGCAGCTAGAAATGAGCTAACTCTCCTCCCCTCACTCAAGCAGACTAATCCATCAGCTGCTCAGGTGAACCCTGTCAGTGTTTGTGAGAAGGTCCTTACCCCATAGACGGAGGAGTGGATAAAATCAAGGGAGTAACCTTTAGATTTGTGACTTTCAGAAAGAGCCTCAGGTGCTATTCCTCATAAAATGGTCTCAAGTCAAATTTTGAACTCATCTTCAGAGCTAGCATGCCTACTGGAAGTAGTGTCATAATAACCAGCCAATAGGGAGAACTCTACACTACCACATGACTAGTTCTTAGCTAATGGAATCCTAAAACTCTACAAATGTGGGAATATAAATCTTTTGAATGTTGTTGAATGTCTTAGAGAAGATGTATGTTAAGCTAAACTGATGAAAACCAGATACTCTTCGTTCTCCTCTAAAGAAGCCATTTTGTGACATTCCAGAAAAATTATCCATTTTGTCTTCTAAACAAAAAATTGTTTACTACAAAACAAAAGTACTACAAACTAACCATAAAATAAAAATAAAAATATATAAGTGAAAATWTAATSAAGGTAATAAAAATATACTTCATTATTCATTAATACTGTATACTTGTTTAATTTTAGTTATTTATTTATACAACTTAGTTGTTACCACTGGTTAATATATTCCGTTCTGGTTTTAATTTGTAATGAAAAAGCAATTTTGTCCTATTTTACAAAAACATGTACAATAGATTGTCTTCAGGCCTAGGCCTCCCTTGCAAAAGAGATCTGTGTTCTCAATGTGATTTGAATGGTTAAATAAAGGTTGGTTAAAATTTCAATGTTGCCAATTTGGTAATGCTATGARAACCAGAGCATTTTAAAGTTTATAAAATTAAAGTACAGGGTCATGAATAATTAATAAAATAAATTTTAATAAAATTATGTTTTGTGTGTTTTTCAAGGACCCCTCTACCAAGTTGTTGGGACAACAAGCTCTCACTCAGATGATGGGAGTTCTCCTGCAATTCCACTGCTACGACCCTTTGTTTATTTTGGAGCAACGAAAACTCAGATTTATGTAAGCATGAAAATCTCTTTTTAAAATTTGTAAATCAAACACTGTACAAATTATAAAATGATTTTGAGATGTGAATTATTTTGTGTGTAAACCTTGATTTTAGTAACTTCTAAGACATTATTTTCCAGGTGAATCACAATGGACACCTGACCTTTGAGGAACCATGGTACAGTTATGTCCCCCAACCGTTTCCATTGTATGGTGTTAGAGACATCATTGCTCCATTCTGGACAGATTTAGACAACAGAAACAATGGTGATGTTTATTATGCTCAGTACACCAGYGGCCATTTTCTGCAACAAGTTACTCAGGACATCAATCAATACTTCCCGGGACTTAATTTTAATGCCAACTGGATCTTTATAGCTACATGGTATGAGGTGGCATACTTTCCAGTCACTGSAACAGTAAGTGCTTTTGTTTTACCTCCTGGAAAACCTTTGATATGCATTGTAAAAGTGATACAATTTATGTGATTTATTTTTTTTCTTTGCAGCGAACCACATTTCAGGCAGTCTTGACTACAAATGGCCATTACTCATTTGTACTGATGAATTATGGGTACCTAGCACCCACATACAGGTCTATAGAGGTTAGAGTCATTATAATAAATACAATGCACACTAAAACATTCTTTCACTCACCCTTTTTAAGTCAAACATTTGCATTAATGTTAGTGTTGCAGATATAAAATAATATTCATTTTATATGTGTGCTGTGTAATTTTCAGGCTGGATATGACACAGTTAATTCCATTCACCACTTCACCATCCCTGGATCATTCTCTAATAATGTAACTGGAAGCGACTCAGTTTTCAGCCTCGGCAGTAACGTCAATGTTCCTGGTCGCTGGGCTTTCCGTGTTGATTATGGGTCAAGAGGATGCACTTTCAATGGTAAGACCAGAGTGAGGGGGGTCACTATAGCTTGATTCATACTTTGCGCATATATAGTTAGGTCCATATATATTTGGACACTGACACAAATTTTGTCTTTTTACCCATTTACTGAAACATATTCAAGTTATAGTTATATAATGTACATGGACATAAAGTCCAGACATTCAGCTTTCATTTGAGGGTATCCACATTAAAATTGGATGAAGGGTTTTTGAGTTTCAGATCCAAAACATTTGCCACCCTGTTTTTAAAGGGACGGAAAGTAATTGGACAATTGACTCCAAGGCTATTTCATGGACAGATGTGGGCAATTCCTTCGTTATGTCATTCTCAATTAAGCAGATAAAAGGCCTGGAGTTGATTTGAGGTGTGGTGCTTGCATTTGGAAGGTTTTTCTGTGAAGTAAATATGTGGGCACATGAAACAAGCCACCCATAAGCTGCGAAAACAGAAAAAACCCATCTGAGAAATTGCTACAATATGTGGCAAAATCTACAGTTTGGTACATTCTAAGAAAGAAAGAAAGAAAGCAAGCAAGCAAGCAAGCAAGCAAGCAAGCAAGCAAGCAAGCAAGCACTGGTGAACTCATCAATGCAAAAAGACCTGGGTGCCCATAGAAGACAACAGTGGTGGATAATGGCAGAATAATCTCCATGGTGAAGAGAAACCCCTTCACAACAGCCAAACAAGTGAAAAACACTCTCCAGGAGGTAGAAGTATCAATATCCAAATCTACCATTGTGCTGTAGTTGTTAGCATCACCCCATCRACAGGGTCATACCCCTCTTTGCCAGTGACTCAAGTATTGGTAACATTTGATCCCCCGTACCTCTTGGTTAATCTCATGAAGTTGCAGAACAGTTTTTATAGATGTGAAGTTCAGAGAAAAAGTTGATTAAAACCAAAGCAAAATACCTAAAAGTTGTCTTTAATCCAATATGGTTAAATTTCTGTCAAGGTTAGGCAAGACATGTTTGTGCAAGAATGTGAAATTTATGCCCTTAATTTGATAACTAAACTGAAAAGTATTTGAAGGGACTGCTGTATAAATTACATGTTGAATAATTTAGATGTAAAAGTAAACAACAAAAACAAACAAAAAATCTCTATATACAAACATGACAAATCGACTTCAGTGCTTGGACCTAAATTAAAAAGTCTAATGATTTTAACAAAAAAACATTTTTGCAAGTTATGATCAAGTTGTACTGTTCTCATTGTCCTCATAGGTGAATCTGTGCAACGTGGTGACTCTTTCTGGACTGACAGCACCTGTTTACAGAGGTGCACCTGCACCTCAACAGGACTGCAATGTTTCAATGAGCCCTGCTCCTTCTCCCAAATCTGCCAACCAACCTCCTTTCAATACTCCTGTCAGACAGTGCAGAGACGCACCTGCAGCATCAGTGGAGATCCACATTACTACACTTTTGATAGCCAAGTGTTTCACTTTCAGGGCACATGCACTTATGTTCTATCAGAGCAGTGTCAGAATGGCCTGCCCTACTATAGAGTAGAGGGCAAGAATGAGCATCGAGGCAGCACTCATGTTTCCTGGACACGCCTGGTTAAAGTGTTTGTCTACAATGAAACTATTGAGCTTGTTAAAGATCACAGTGGCGAGGCTAAAGTAAGTGGGATATTCTACTTACCAAATGTTTAGATCTTTTCTGATTATTTTTAATTTTCCATGTTTGTCTTTATAGGTCAATGGAAACTTTGCAACAACTCCATTTTCACTGAGAAATGGCACAGTTCAGGTTTATCAGTCTGGTTTCTCTGTGATTATCAGCACTGACTTTGGCCTGATGGTGTCTTATGATACATATTCATATGTTCAAATCAGTGTGCCTTACACCTACCAGAATGCAACATGTGGCCTCTGTGGAAACTTCAACAATCAACCTGGAGATGATTTCAGAACTCGTGAAGGCCAGGTTGTGAGCTCTGATGTGGATTTTGCCAACAGCTGGCAAGCAACTGATGATGATGATCCTAGTTGTGGGGCACAGTGTGGAGGTCTTGCCTGTGCTGCCTGCACTGCAGCGCAGACATCATTATACAGCAACACTGAGCATTGTGGTATTCTCCAGAGCAGTTCTGGACCATTTGCTGCATGCCACCAACGACTTCCCCCACAAACATATGTAGACAGTTGTGTGTATGATCTGTGTGTGGGTGGAGGGTATCAGCCCATTCTGTGTCAAGCCCTAAACACGTATGCAAGTCAGTGTCAGCAAAATGGCATCCAGCCACAACCCTGGAGGAGAAATGGCTTCTGTGGTATGTCTGTCAGTCATTCAACAATCATTTATAAAACACCTTATTTAAAATGTTTCTGTTGTTTATCTGTTTTGTCTTGATTTCTTTAGAAATATCATGTCCAGCTAACAGCCACTTTGAGTCCCAAGGGACAGGATGTCCAGCCACTTGTGTAAACCCCAATTCCACAGTCAACTGCCCTCTTCCTGATCAGGAGAGCTGTGTCTGTGACTCAGGCTATGTTCTCAGTGGTGGGGTCTGTGTCCTTGGTGCTGATTGTGGCTGCAGCTTTGAGGGCCGGTACTACCGCTCAGGAGACACTGCAATACTAGATGAGGACTGTGGGAGACAGTGCCGATGCAGTTCTGGCTCCATGACTTGCAGCCCTCATAGCTGTGGCCTCAATGAAACCTGCAGGGTTGAGAATGGAGAAAGAGGTTGCAGACCAAACAGCTATGCAACTTGCTGGATAAGAGACCCAGGGTCATATCAAACGTTTGATGGACTGACATACCAATATCCTGGAGCATGTCGCTTGACTCTCGCCAAAGTCTTTGGATCGTCTAACCAGCCTCTCTTTATGGTGACTGCAGAAAAAGTACCAAGAGCCCAACAAGGTTTTACCAATTTGTTAAAAATCGAGGCAGAGGGAAGGCAAGTTACCATTGAAATGGCAAGCAGTAGCACAGTTCAGGTAACTGACTAAAATGTTTTTCAATGAGACCTACTAAGGTTTTACTTTAATCTAAGTCTTTTTATTGCTATTTGTGTAATGCCAACACCTAGTCTAATGTGTGATGCATCCGTTTAACTGTGTTGAGTCATACATAGCATTCTCCTAGTTGTCTAAAGCAATTATCACTCAGATTATGTGTATAAACCTTTTTGTACAATTTCCAAAAGACATACTGTCTTAATATGCTTTTTTAAAAATTAAATCACATAAATACATTTTGAAGTTTTGTGCACTATTTCTCTGTTCACTGTTTGATAATAGTTGTTTAATTGTATTAAAGGTTGATGGCCAGCTGATCAGACTGCCTTACAGTTCTGGGTCCAACCAAATCCACATCTACCAGAGCAACACTCAAAGCATCATCCTTCGCACAACATTTGGTCTAACTGTGCAAACTGTTTGGCCTGACCTTGTGCGTATCACAGTACCTGCTGTCTACAGTAGTTCCTTAGGTGGACTTTGTGGTAACTACAATAATAATCCACATGATGACCTCCGCACCCCCAATGGCACTCTGCTTAACAGTTCTCAGGAGTTTGGGGACAGTTGGAGAGAAGGCTCACTGGCAGCTGAATGTGTTCAAAGAAGAAATCATGATACTAGAATAAATTTCAATTCCAGTCAGTATTGTGGCATTCTCAGCTCAGTGACTGGCCCTTTTACATCATGTTGGACTGTGGTGCCTCCAGGACAGCAGGTGGATGCATGTATAACTATCCTCCAGGACTCTACAGATCCAGCATCAGCACGTTGTGAGGTCCTACGAGATTATGTGCTAATGTGTCAACAAAAGGGCGTTACCCTGGGACAGTGGAGAAGTATAGTTGGGTGTGGTAAGTTCTTTTTCCAGTTTAGGCAAATGTGTGTGTTTAATCAACACATCTTGAACTCATTTTAATTCACTGTTTTGTATCACTTGCAGATGTAACATGCCCTTCAAACAGTCATTATGAACTCTGTGGAACATCTTGTCCTTCCACATGTCCTAGCCTGTCTTTCCCCTTCCCATGTGACACCCAATGTGAGGAAGGGTGTCAATGCAACAGTGGTTTTGTCCTCAATGGTAACCAGTGTGTGCCACCAACATCCTGTGGGTGTTATCATCAAGGACGCTATAGGCAAGATGGAGAACAGTTCTGGGATGGTGGAGAATGTCAGACTTTATGCACTTGTAATGGCACAACTGGTGCAGTTCAGTGTTTCCACAGTTCCTGTGGTCCTCAGGAGTCCTGTAGAGTGTTGGGGAGTGAGTTTGGCTGCCATCCCAACCCTAATGGCACCTGCTCTGCCTCTGGAGATCCTCACTACCTTACCTTTGATGGCACACGATTTGACTTCCAGGGAACCTGTCGTTATGTTCTGGTGACAGTCTGCAATGACGCTCATGAGCTTCCCAGTTTTTCTGTGGAAGCTAAGAATGAGCCATTGGTTGGTTTACCAATTTCTATCACAACTGAAGTCCTTGTTAACGTGTTCAACTATGGTGTGCGTATGTCCAGAGTCAACAGGGGTTTGGTAGAGGTGAGTTAATCATTTTCAGAAAAACAGGGGTTCCTTTTTAACAAAGGATTAAACAAAGTAAAAAAAAAAGTTTAATGACAAAAATCAAAACAAAAAATTTGTGAAAAAATCATTGAAGTCTAATGAAAGCCATATCAAAGGATTTTTTCTTAAAAAAATGAAATTGTTAAATTTACATGGAAGACAGCAGAAAGGGTTGACAGTTAATTAAATTATGATTTCTTTAATCAAGCAATATGCCATAATTTTTCCTTATTTTCTGAGAAAATTTGTTACCAACGTGTCAAAAACTAATATCAAGTTTGTTCAGCCAGAAGTTCTCTTAGTGGGAATATCAATATTTCTGCTTTTCTTCATTAAGCCCACCCACTTTCTTTCTGACCAATCACACAGTAAGTGTTTTGTGATTGGTAAGATGATGTATCAAAAACAAATGTAAGATTTCCTTAATCAGGGTTGTGAGAGAAAAAAAAAAGTTCTTTTCTCGCAGCCTTTGGAGATAGAACAATTTATTTGGTTGTTGTGAAGCTTTTGTAGACTTTCATGTAACTGTACTTCTTTTCAAACCTTGTGTCTTTATAAGTTAGTATAACAACATAAATTATTTATCCAGTTTTTACAGTCCAAACACAATGTATGTTCAGACAATGTATCAGTCACATTAAAACAAAACATTTTTTTTCCAAAGGTAAACGGAATAACAAGAAACTTGCCCATTGTCCTGAATGGAAACATAACTGTTTCTGTAAGTGGATATCAAACATTTGTCAGAACTGATTTTGGCTTGACTGTGATGTATGATGGAAGCAGCACAGTGTCCATCACTGTACCACCAAACTACAGGTAGCTATTGTTTATCACAGCTCAGTTTGTGTGTTTGTGAGTAACTTTTATGTTGTAATTCGTTTCTTTTGTCGAATCTCACTGCTTACTTTAATGACTGATGTTCTTTGAATCTTCTTTAGAGGAAAAACATGTGGACTTTGTGGAAACTTTAATGGAAATCCAAATGATGACTTCCACACCCCAGATGGAACAACAGTCTTTTCTCCAGATGTTTTTGGGACAGCCTGGAAGGTGCCTGGTAACTACTCCTGCAGTGGTGGTTGTGGCTCCTCTTGTCCACGCTGCACTGATGACCAACCTGCCAGAGCTCAGTGTGAAGTGATTCAGGCAGCCGATGGGCCCTTCAGCTTCTGCCATGAAGTTGTGGATCCAGCTCCGTATTTCAGTGACTGTGTGTTTGATGTCTGTGTGTCGGGAAATCAAGGACACAATCTTCTCTGCCGAGCTCTTGAATCATACGTCAGCGCCTGTCAGTCTGCGAATGTCCGGATCCTCCCTTGGAGGCAAAACACTACTTGCAGTGAGTAAAGAAGTCACTATGTTTTCTGCTAATCAAAGCTAAGAATCAGCCTGAGTTTTCTGAAATCATTTTCTAAAATGGCATTCATTTGTCTGAAAGTTTCTAACCAACTATTTCTGCACGTTTTCAGGACTGGACTGTCCAGCCAACAGTCACTATGAACTGTGTGGAACAGACTGTGGACAGACCTGCGTCAACAACAATGCTACAACCTGTGAGCAGGTTTGCTCTGAGGGATGTTTCTGTGATGACGGCTTTGTCAGGAGTGGAACAACATGTGTTCCTACAGAGAGCTGTGGCTGTCAGTCACATGATTTCTACTACAATGTAAGCCACTTTTAAGTCACTTTAGCTCAATTAGCTGAAGTCACAACTGAAATTAAGAGTATTTTTTTATTTTAGAGTAATTTTTAATTTTAATCCTAGAAATTGTCTGTTTGCAGTTAGTTTGTTGTCCTGCAACTTTTTAATTAATATTTGACAGGAGCCAGGTTAAAAAAACAGTTCATGTCACCTGTTGTATGGCATCAGTTCAAGAGTTTTTGTTGATAAATTAAATAAAGCTGAGCTCCAGACAAAAACAATAGCAGGTCTGATAAATGAAATATTTTTTAGTCAACAAGAAATGAATTTCATGTCAGGAAAACAAAACAAAACAATATGCACTAAACCAGCATCATTTTAATATAGTGCTCCTTTTCTTGTTTGTGTTTATTTTCAGTCATCCAGAATATAGCACATTCTACAAGTTTCAGAAACAAAGACACTTTTTTTCTCATTACTGTACCACACTCTAAGACAGTTTTCTTACTATGCTATAGGCTGGCGAAATCTTTTGGACAGACGGCTGCTCCCAGAGATGTGAATGTCGTGGTCCCAATGACCTGCGCTGCACTCCTGTATCATGCACTCCCACACAGGAGTGCACCATCAGAAATGGCCAGCTGGGATGTTATGATGCAATGTCTACCTGCACTGTGATGGGGGACCCACACTACATTACCTTCGATGGAGCTCTGGCCCATTTCCAGGGGACATGCTCGTACATTATTACTGAGAGCATTGGAAACAACAGTGAAACCCAGTTCAAGGTCATAGCCACCAACAGTCACCGTGGCAACAATCGTGTGTCATTTGTGTCGTCAGTAGATATTTACATCTCAAATGAGTCAAATGAAATACATGTGAGACTTGGACCCAACATAAGAGTGAAGGTAAACTTGATTTTATTTTTATGATTAATTTTCTAAAACTGTCCAGTCTTGTCAACTTATTCTCTGAACTCTCGTCTTTGCAGGTAAATGGAACAGAGGAGTCTCTTCCCACCTCTGCAGGACCCTTTGGTCAGCTGAGGAAGCAGGGAAGCTATATTGTGTTTGATGGTGTTTACTTCAAAGTTCAGTTTGATGGTCGGAGCACTTTACTGGTCAGGATTGGCCAACACTATCAGAACAGAATCACTGGGATGTGTGGGAATTTCAATGGTGATCCTACTGATGACAAAGTGTTGCCAAATGGCGCCGTTGCACAAAATGACAATCAGTTTGGTGACAGCTGGAAATCACCAACCAGCCAAACAGGGTGAGCCGAGATTCCAACTGCCTTTTGTTAAATAGCAAAATACTTTGCAAACACATTTACTTTTAAAAATCAATTCTGCAATTTATGAAAACATAAAGTTGCAAATCTAATATGTATACAAAACTGCTTTTCCAGATGTGGCTCTACTGATAATAGAAGTGGTGATGGACTGAGTGGTTGTCGCTTTATCCAAGAATACACCGACCTCTGCAGCATCATCACCAACACCAGCGGTCCATTCAGTTCCTGTCACCTGCACTCTAACCCACAGCCATTCTTTGACTCCTGTGTCTACGATCTCTGCCTCTACACTCCAGCCAATGGCATGCTGTGTTCTGCTGTCTCAGCCTATGACAGAACCTGCTCCGTTTTAGGACTGAACATTCCAGACTGGCGCTCTGCTTTGCACTGTGGTATGCTGGCACACACACACACACACACACACACACACACACACACAC